CCGCGTGCACGTACATATGTCTCTTCTCTCGCTGTCGTATTTCGAGCGGTGCAGACGTCGTGCGCGGCGGCGTGTGCCTCGCGGCGGCTTAATTGTGGTAATGAGGGGGGGGGGGTCGCTTGGAGGGAGCAGGACGGAGCGTCGCCGTCGTTGCGTCGCGTCGCGCGTCGTTGCCGCGGCAACCGACGCCAAAACCCCGTGTCGACGACGCGACGCTCGCGACGCGTGCAAGGTCGAGTGCGTGTGTGTGTGGTGTTGTTCTTTCAGAGGGGGCGCGGTGAGGCGGCAGATAAAGGGGACGGAGACAGACGACCTGGTGGACGGACGGACGGACGGCGTCCACGCGACGGACGGGCGGGCGGGCGGGTTGAACGACAGAGATAATGACTCCTCCTTCCTGCCGTCGCCCTGGCGGGTGGACTTGAACTCGAGATGAGCATCCCCCATCCCCTATCCTCGTCTCGTCACACCTTTCTTATCTACTGAGGTTTCCACTCTGCTCGTCTGGAACCTGAAGCCGGGATGGGCACAACAGCTCGGCAGTGTGCCCCGGTGTCAGGGCCTCGATCCCCCCTCCCCCCCTCCAACCCGCGCCTCACGCCACATGCACGCCGATTTGCACAAACCTCCGCGGGCACTTGTGTCGGAGAACAGCACGGAACACAGGCTTTGCTTCACTCGTACCCTTTCAACCCCGACACCCTCGTCCTCGTCCTGGGACGGGAGGGGGAGGGCCAGCTGCAGCCCCCTCCGCGAGCACCCCTCCTCCTCCTCCCCGCCCCTCATGTTCCAGCGAGCGACGCCACGAGCGACGCCGCTTGGAGGGGGAGGGAGCCGGTCGCGGCGGCGGAGGGGAGCCGGCCGGGTCGGTGTGGCAGTCTGGCAGGCAAGGCAAGGCAGTTGTGTTTCAAGCGCCCCGCCGGAGAGGTCGCCGCGCGAGGAGCCGCTGCAGCCGTGCCTCACCCGGGTGACCGCGGCCTGGCCGAGCTCCGCGACCTCCGCGACCTCCGCGTCGCGTGTCAGTCGGCAGCACCGTCGCGATAATAGCGTCCGCGGGTGTCTTCGGCCGGGTCCGCCGCCGCGTGACACACTCGCGAACGACGCGCGCCCGCCCGCCACAGTGAAGTGAACCGGTCCCCATATGAGGATAAACCAGTGCAAAGAGGATTAGCCAGTCCAACACCAGCGCCGAGTCCTCGGTAAGCATCGTGTCCGATGAAAGGTTGACGAGCCCGTTTTGCTGGACAAAACGCGCGAGCAAATGAATGAAAACGCCATGGTGCCGGCGGCCCCTGGGGTCGCGAAAGGCTCGCGGAGCGCAGGACGTCTAGTTGGGGTAGGTCGTCGTGTGCGTCGCGGCGCACAGGGCAAGGGCTGCGCCCGAGGGGTCTGTAAGCAGAGGGGAGGTGGAAGGAGCAGCTAACGAGGGCATAGTCATCTCGCTCCCCATCGCATTGTGAGGATGGCCCCGCTGCAGGGCGCGGCCGACAAGGACGGCGACAGCATCCGCCCGCCGCGCAGCCATACCGCACCCTCCTCACCCGCACCCTCGGACCAGCTCCTGCAGTGCAGCTTCTGTTTACGCAGCAGCCGGCAGCGGCAGCCACGTCTGTCCCACGGTGGGGTGCGTTGTTACCCCGGCTCCATAGCAGCCCGACAGTCCTGACAGCACAGAGCAGAGCACAGCCGCCGGGTTTGGTCTTTTTTCGTTTTCCTCCCCCGGACCGCAGCAGGTAATACTGGGGGAGTGTCGCCGGCGCAACAACGGCATGCAGGTGGGCTGCTGCCGCCCGGCTGCCGCTGAATGGGGACCCAACCCCATTGGGCACCTGCGCCGCGCCGCGCCCGGCCGCGTCCGTTGAGGGTGACGTTATAATCTCGGCAGGGTGTCTGGCTTCCGTCCCGGATGGCCCCGGCGGCGACGGACGCTGCCATACTGTCGCGCGGCTCTGCGCTTTCAGTTCCGGTCGAGAGACGAACGCGACGTCACGATGGCAAGGTTACCCACGGACTCCACCATACCGCCGCCGGCACCACGCCGTCAGCACCTCGCCGTCGGCAGCAGGCAGCCAGCCAGAAGGTTTTGGTCTCGAGCAGCTGGAACGAATAACCAAACCGGGCGTAGCCAAATGCGGAGCGGAGGCGTGTAAACGTATTCAAACGGCCCTACAGCCCATCGCATCACCCCACGTTAGCGTCAGCCGCAGGGGCCCTGGCCGGTGTCGGTGTCCGTGGTGGTGGTGTGGTGTCCCGCTGTGCCCCGCCACGCCACGCCCCGCAGCGCCCTGGTCGGAGCACTTATTAACATTTTTGAGTCCGTGGCCCGCATAGTACTTACCGCGAGACCGTTGGGACCCGCGCGCGACGCCCACGCCACGCAGCACCCTCGCTATCGCCGCGCTCTCATCTCTCGCGCTGTCCGACAGACACCTTGGCCTGGCCCCTCCGTCGGCGACTCCTGATCCGCGTCCTGCTCGGGTCCGCGTCGTCCTTCTCCTTCCTCCTCCTCCGGGCCGGCCCGGGCCCGGGAGGAAGTCGAGTCGTTACGGCCCAGCAGCCGCACAACAAAGACGCTCATTGTACGCATGTTGTGCCTACGGCGCGGCCCGGTGCTGTGCTGCGAGGCGGCGAGGCGAGGCGTGCCAGACTGGTTGCCGAGTGCTTGTGCTTGGCGTTGCTTATTCTCTCGCGCTCGCCGCTTATTTTGACTGGGGGGCCTGGGCCGGCTGCGGCGGGGGCGGCGGCGCTGCAGTATACGCCGCACTGCAGTGTTGCCAATGTCCGACGCGTTTACATGTCATGTTTAGAGACGCGCATTCCTGATGACGACGGTACGAGGAGGCGATAAAGTTTGGTTTGAATTCCCCTCGACCTTCTTGTCCCCCCCGCACGCCTCCTCCCCCTCCCCACGGACCCGTCCGCTCGCTCCACGGGCATCCCGAGTATTTCCTCCTGCGGCGAAAAACAAAATATTTCACGCGAGGGGTCCCCCGGCTCGGCTCAGCATCGGCCCCACCCGACCCGGCTGGAGGGGATCTTGTGTCGTCGTGACTCAATGTGGAGGACCCCCCCCCCCCACTCTCCTATCCCACAAACACCCTCGGCCGAAAATCAGCGTTGTTGACAGTGTACTCCGGGGCGGTGCCGTGCTGCGGCGATGGACCGCGGCTGCCTAGATTCGGAGCCCGCCGAGAGCGCGGTCGCGGCGCCGTGGGGCCGAGGCGGGCCGCCGTCGTGCCCCGTGGGTGCCGGGCGGCCGGTGCTGGCCCATAGGCCGGCCGGGCCCCGGGGGCTCTGGCAGATAAGCATCGCACAGCATCCAGAATGCCGCGGCCGAGTGGACCAACACACTCCCGAAATAAACGGACTCGATGACCAGCTCGCCCCTGGGGCCCCTGGGGCTCGGGGCCCAAGGACGACACCAAGGCCCTGCCGGTCCTGCCGCCGGTCCTGCCGGTGACGTGACACCCTCCGGGCGCACCCCGACAGGGAAGTGCCAGCGCACGCGCCGCGGCCAGCGGAGTAGGGACTTATTGTTTACAGTGATCGCGCCTGAGAGCCTTTAGAGGGAACATCCGCCCAGTGTCCCGCCGGTCC